GGTATTACACATGTGTCCTTATCCCCCCAGTGTTCCCCAACCCCCCACTCATGCTCTCATCCCCCTAGTGTCTGTGTTCATTGGTTATGCTTATATATATGCATACAAGTCCTTTGGTTGCTCTCTCCCCCTCCCCCCCACCCTCCCCTGCCTACCTTCTGAGGTTTGATGGCCTGATCAATGCTTCTCTGTCTCTGGATCTTATGAGGCGAATGGGGCCAAAAGACTGCACGAGTGATTCTGCCTTTCCCCACACCCATTTTAATGGCTCTTTGCATGACGCGAAGTCACAGTTGATGCCACATCATGCCCCTAAAACTCATTCTCAAATGCTTTGGTGTTTCCCACCTACTCCTGCACAGAGGCGTGGGAATGGCAGGAGGCATTCTGGGCGGTAAGAGAACTAAATGACCGAGGAAACCTGCAGAGTGTGCAAGAGCAGGGAGCAGGAAGAAAACAGGGGTGCATTCCCTTCCCGGGACCGCTGAAACCAAGAGCCCAAACCGGGGAACTTAGAACAAGAGAAATGTATTATCGTATTGTCTCACACTCCGGAGGGCAGAACCAAATCAGAGCCATGCTCCCTCTGAAGGCTCTAGGGAGGATCTTTCTTTGCCTCTCCCAGCTCCTGGGCTTTGCCTGCAATCCTTGGTCTTCCTTGGCTTGCAGATGTATCACTCCAATCACGTGTCCATCTTCTCCCTGTACATTGTCTTCCTTCTGTATATGTCTGTATCCAAATTTCCCTTTTTATAAGGACACCAATAATATTAGATCAGGGGCCACCCTAATGACCTCATGTTAACTTGATGATCTCTGCCAAGATTGTTTCCAAAGAAGCTCACATTCTTTTCTTTTATATATATATATATATATATATTTTTATTGATTTCAGAAAGGAAGGGAGAGGGAGAGAGAGATAGAAACATCAATGATGAGAGAGAATCATTGATTGGCTGCCTCCGGCACACCCCACACTGGGGATCAAACCCACAACCCAGGCATATGCCCTGACAGGGAATCAAACCATGACCTCCTGGTTCATAAGTCAACGCTCAACCACTGAGCCTCACCAGCTGGGGTGATGCTCACATTCTGAGATGCTGGGGCTTAGGACTTCAACTTCTCTTTTTTGAGGGGGTCTTAATTCCACAAACCTGAGATTTCTCCTAAAGACTGGGGCAGCCACCTAGGATGGCGTGCTATGTTTGGCTTTGTGTTCTTAAAATGTTCCTCTTGTGAAGAAGTAGAGAATGGTTTAGAGGGGTCAGCCTGGACCCTGGGAGTCCTACTTGGAGCTTGTTTGTGAGAGGCAAGGACCTGAATCAAAGCTGCAGGGGCACTGGGGACTGGAAATAACTAAAATGTTCATCAGTGAATGAGTAGCTACATGAAGTTATTATGCTAATGGAACAAAATATCATTCAGCAATAAAAAATAATGCATGAATGAACCTTATGAAAAACATTATGCTAAGTGAAAAAAGTCAATTACATTATTATATGATTCAGTTTGTATGAAATGATCAGAATAGGTAAATCCATGGAGACAGAAAGTTGATTAGTAGTTGCCAGAGGCTGAGGAGAGGAGGAAATGGGGAGTAACTGATAATTACAGGTGTGTGTTTTTCTGGGTGATTGAAAATGTTCTAAAACGGATTGTGGTGATGGTTGCACAGCTCTGTGAATATATTAAAAATCATTGAATTGTAAACTTTAAATGCACTGTGTGGTATGTGAATTACATCTCAATATAAAATAAACCACTTAATTACATTCTTCTCAAATTATCTAAATTATTATCCAACCAAGTTTCTAGCTTTTCAGAGACTCATGTTGAATATTGTTTTTTAAACCTTGACTCATTCTAGCATTTAGCCATTCTATGGATAATTACTCACTGACAGAAACAGTGCTGTCAAAATGTTCCACAGGTCTGTTCATCTCCAAGATAACCAGTCATAAAGGTAAACACGGGTATGGAAAGAGAAGCAAACCATCCTAGGAATTGTAGACATTGGCCTAAGTCATGTATTTTCTAAAAGTGTCTATTAAGAATGACTCGGCATTTTAGGGTTTGGTTCCCCTTACTTGCTTAGAATTCAATCCTCAGCTCAACCAGTAAATGTTGAAGTTGCAGCCTGAGTGCTTATTGCTTGCAGGGACCCCTGTAGGGGGCAGAGGTTAGCTCAGGGGTGGGCAAAGGATGCTTGCTGCCCCCTCCCCACCCAGCTCCGGGCCCTGCTGGGTAGAAGTTACTGATACTCACTCAGAATTTGTTCAGACCAGCATTGCTCAATTTCAGCACTATTGACATTTTGGCCAGGTAATTCTTTGTTGGGAATAAGTGGGTGGGTATTTCTTGTGCTTTGTAGGATTTCTAACAGCATCCCCGGACTTTACCTACTAGTTAGTTTACAGTGTCACCCCCAATTGTGACACCAAAAATGTCTCCAGACATTATCCCCGCAAGGGTCAAAATTCGCCCCCATTTCAGGACCACTATTTAGATTAGGGTCAGGGAACTTCCAATCACAGGCTGTATAAGGCCCGAGAAATCTTTGGTCTGGCCCTGCCAAGACATTATCGGTGAGTGAATTAAATGTTTGACCAAATATAGCAGGCTGATTTTTAAGTTGATAATTTTGTATGGCCCTTGAATTATGTTATAAATATTCAAATGGCCCTTAGCAGAAAAAAGGTTCCCCACCCCTGATCTAGATGATTCCAGAACACAAGAGGAGAAAACTTGGGAACAAAAGAGCTAGTACTGAGAAATTTGGATGTAGTTTTCTGGGAAGATGCTTCCCAAAGAATGCTGCAAGAAAACCACATTGTTTTTTATCACTTCACAGAAAGTCTCAGCCTATATTGAGTGTCCCAGGATCTGGCCTGGCCTGGAGCTCCTGGAGGCAGAGAATGTGGCACAAGTAGAACTGCTTAGGGGGCGGATGATAAGGTGCATGAGGCTGGTGAGGAGGTCCTGGGTGGGATAAGTGGCTTCAGAACATCCAGGGCTGCCCAGGGCCTAGCCTCTGAGGGTCTCCCAGCGGGAACCACCTGCTGGGTGCCTCAGGGGCTTCTCCAAGACATCTTGGGCAGAAACGCCCAGGAGCCCTGGGGGTGGCTGAGTCCCTCCTTGGGCAGAGGAGGCTGGTGGGCCTGTGGTCAGAGTCACACTAACCTGGGCATAAGTGGGAAGAGATCTCATGCTCTCCCACACAGGCGAGGCTGGGAGCGCACAGGCTGCCCTGAGGATAGGCACCCTTGATTGTGACTCAGTGTTATGCAAGGATTGTTCGCCAAGCACTGGTCCCCTAAAGGCTTTGCACATATTTGAAAGAAATATGAGTATGCGTTTGAAATCAGGCCAATAGTTACCTATACAACAGGCTTGCTGACTTGATATGTGAAATCGACTTTCATCGTTTATTAATTTGAAGTTCTCCGGTTATTTCTGAAGTTAAATGTGTTTTCAAACTTTTATTGGCCACTTCTGTTGTTTATGTATTGCCTGATCATGATATTTGCCTACTAAGGAGTGTCGAGTTGTGTTTTTTTTTTAGCTATAAATCAGGCATTAATTTTTTCTGTTTGATGATGTATCTTCTTTTTAAAAATATTTATTGGATGAGGCCATATAACAAAACAAATTATGTTAATGTGAACAATTCAGTGGCATTTAGTCCCTTCACGACGTTGTGCCCCCGCCATGTCTACATGATTCCCATTCTCATTATTCCAAAGTGCACACTTTTTCATAGTGCTGAAATGGTTCAATTGTTTGACCAGTGAAACTGATTTTGATCACTGCAACTTAATTTCTAATAATTACACATACAAGTTGACACAGAATTCTCTCTGTGGTGACACGCAGGGACTGCCAACTGAGACACAGATGAAAGCCAAGCACAGGCAAAGCTTCAAGGCCCAAAAAGCACACTCACTACAGCCTGTTTTTTTCAATATGAGTAAATACAACTTTTTTTTTTGCAAAAATATATGATTGGTACCAAGGTATCAAAAATGATATTTTTCCTTCCTTCTTATAGCAAATAATTCTTTTTACACTTTTGCTTATTAACTTCTTAATTAAATGTTATTGACATATGAGGTTTCTATGCCCTGTGCTTCCTGGAGTTTGTCCAATTATGCTCATCACCCTTGTAGCTACTGTTGACCGTATTAACAGAGATATTGGCAGATATTAAAGAAGGTTGGTAAGGGTCTTTGGGACCTCTTTGAGGCTTTCTTTCTGATGAAAAAAACAATGCATTGAAAAAGAGAATTCTGGTCTGAAAGTTCACGTGATCTGAAGCTTTTCAAAGGTGTAAAAATTCAAATAATATTTTTTAAAAAACAAACTCACAAGTTTTTATTTTTCAAAGCCCTCTTTCCTCATCTGTCAGAGGGAATCTACAAACTCTTGCCTTAGTCAGAGGTCAACACGCTCTCTCTGTAAAGGGTTAGATAGTAACTATCTAGACTGAATGTGCCACATACCCCTCTGTCTCATAGTTCTGATTGTTTCTAATGTCCTTTTTAAAATATAAAAACCATTCTTAGCTCTGGACCATATAGCAACAGGCCTGTGGGCTGAAGTCCATTTGGTTCACCAACTATAGTTTGTTAACCCCTGGTTTAGGGACCAGGGAAAAAGCATGGCACAGAGTTGGGAGAATGGGTTTTGACCTGGACTACCCTCTTAGCTGTGTCTCTTGGTCAAGGCTTCACCTGTTTCTTCAACAGGTAAGTGCAGGATTTGGCTTGGAAAATGTTAAGGCTCCTTCCATGACTGTCCCCAGGGTACCCAGTTAAAGATAACTGCTGCTATTGCCAGGCATGAGTGCTATCTCATTCAAAGTCTTTGCATCAATTCAAACCCTCAGCCTCAGTCAGGTCTCCTCCACCCGCTCCTCCTAGCCTGGCATCCCTTCCGTCAGGTGGCCCTCCCAGGTGACAATCAGAGGAGGAGCCAGACAGGAGAGGGAAGCAGAGAGTGAAGAAACGGGGCAATCACAAAGGAATAAAGCCACCCACCTGAGACAGGACCCCTTTCTTCTTACAGCTGGTCCCTCCAATGAAGACCATGTTGGGCAAGACTGGTCTGGGATACTCGAACACAAAGTCATATCTCAAGAGCCAAATGGAGCCCTTCTGATATAAGGTGGGTAAGTGTACCTGTCTCTTGAGGAGGTCTGATGCGAGGTCTTCGTACTTTGAAAACAGACAGTGAAATACGAGGTTCTCCAAATGATTAACAAGGAAGTTGACCACCCTCTGGGAGAAAGTCATCCTGTCTGAGAACTGGGTGTAGCACCTGGGGATGTAGGACACGGGGTTCGGGCTTCGGCTGAACGTATGCTCCAGGGCAAACGGGAAGCCCCTGAAGAGGTACACGGAGGGCAGGCCCAGGAACTCGGCCAGGATCACCCCGCAGGGCATGGCCGGGTCTGTGAACAGGGCGTCGAACTTGCTCTCCCGGAGGAAGCTCAGAGTGGCTGAGTCCCTCAGGAGGCTCTGGCAGTTGATGAAGCACAGGTCAACGACGACCATGTTATTCCTGTACTCCACCAGGGGAGCAGTCAGGAGCGATCTCTCCTCGAAGTGCCGGTTCCCAAAGGTTCGGAAGCGTCTCTGTAGCTCTTCCTGGTCGTAGGGCACCGCATAGATTTTCCTGGTGTAGTGTTTGGACTCTTTCAGAAGCAAATTGACTTCTGGCACCAGCACTACGATGTCATGGCCCCTGTCACTAAGCACCTCAATTATGCCCTTCATACTGAGCCAGTGGCTTCCATCCTGGGGGACCACCAGCAGCTTGTCACCGAGAGCCACACCCCAAAGCCCTAAGAGGAAAACCCCTGCAGAAACTCCCCGGGCCGCACAGGGGAGGCAGGCCATCCCCATGGAGTGCAGCAAGAGTAAATGGGTTACGCTGCCTGACTCCGATGGCTCCCGGCTATGTCCCCTACACTGACCCTACCTGCCCCTCTTCACAGACCTGGCCTACCTCTCTGTGCTCTGAGCTTTGCCCTCTGATATGCAAGAACCTACATTAATATTTAACTATTTCTAAGAACACAGGTAACTTGAGCCAACCATGCTTCTTAGCTCTTGCCTGAGCTTCTGGGTTTAGTTCTTCTCTTTGTCTGCACCAACCTGTCTCTCCGGTTGGAGGACAACCTGGACAGGCCCCAGGAGGCCCACTGCAGCCCCGCCTTCTCTCCTGAGCACCAGGGCTCCACAGCATCAGTGATGACCATGTTCACAGATGAATAGCTGTCCGGGATGCTCTGCTTCCTTGTCAACCCTCCTCACAGTGGAAAGGAAGCATGAACAGACGTAAATTCATGATTTGAACAACACAATGGAACTGCTCACTCCAAATCCTGGTTACCACAGCAGTGGCCGGATTAAAAGGAAGGCACAGAGAAGTCTAATAGAACTTCCCTCCGCCCCCTGCTCCCAGCTATACTACTGTTATTGGGGAGTTTTGTTATAGCAGAAGATAGAATCTAATCCTAACATATGTGCCCTGACACCACACATCTCACTTTGCGGTTAAGAGCACAAATGCTGGAGCCAGCCTGCCCCTACCAAGCTGTGCGACCTCACCACCCTTCCCCTGCATTGCTGCACCTGCCAGCTGGGGGTTGCATCAGCCCCTCCCCTGAGGGGCAGTGAGAATGAGCTGAGTGCAGTTCCCTTGGAAGGGCTCCCTCTGGGTTTGGTCAGACACTCTCGGGGTCAAAAAGTGACCCTGCATGACCTGCACTGTGAATACAATAACCATAGGAGGAGCGAAGGGAACAGAAGAGGAGGCAGAAAGGAAGAAGAGAAGAACATGTAGAGATGTGAAATGGTGGGAAAGTGTCAGGTGGCAGGGCACTTGATGGAGGTGACTGGTCCACCAGCAGTTGGAAGAAGGTGGCTCCAGCACAGGGCTTCCCAACATGTTCAGTTTCTAAAACAATTTCCCATTGTCTTCATTTCTTAGGGCCACTGTAACAAAGCACCACACTGTGGTGGCCTGAAAAACAGAGCTTTATTCCCATAGTCTGCAGGCTGGCAGTCTGAGGTCAAGGTGTCAGCAGGACTGGTTCCTTCTGAGGCCTGGGTGGGGGATCCGTTCCAGCCTTGCTCCGGCTCCTGGTGGTTTGCAGGCTACCTTTGTTGTTCCTGAGTTTGTAGAACATCAGGCCATTTCTGCTTGTGTCCCTGTCTGTGTCCAAATTTCCCCTTCATATAAAGATACCAGTCATGGTGGACTAAGGCCCACCCACCCTAATGACCTCATTCAATTTAACTAATTACAGCTGCAAAGACTGTATTTCCAAATAAGGTCACATTGTAAGGTATTGGGCGTTAGGACTTCAATAAAACTTTTTGGGGGACACAATTCAACCCTATCATTCACCCTTCAACTCATGCAATACAAAGCCCAAGCTGACCATCGTTCTACCGATGAGAAACGGAGGCTTGCTGCCTACGAAAGGACATTTTTGGGTAACTTGTGCAGCTTCAGAAGAAAAAATAGAATTGGCTACTTCTAGATCAGCCTTTCTCAACCTTTTGGCCTCAGGACTCCTTTTTACTCTCAATGCATGAAGACCCCCGAAACATTTGTTTATGTGGGTAACATGTATTCAAATAAACTGTTTTAGAAATTGAAACTGACACATTTAAAAAGTACTTCCTTGTGAATTTGAGATAACAAGATTAAACCCATTACAACCTGACATCTTTTCTGAGAAAGTAACTGTAAATTTCCCAAAACAAACAAAAAAAGTAGTCAAAGGAGTGACGTCGCTTTACCTTTTTTGCAAGTCCCTTTAATGTCTGACTGGAGGAGAGGGACTCTCTGATCAGCATGTGCACTTGCTCTGCCATGGTTTTGCACGTTGTGAAGTCTTGGGAAAACTCCCCAGGACCACCACAAGAAAATGAGAGTGGAAAAAGCAAACTAAAACTTAATAGTCTTAGTACTATTAAGGAAACAGCTTGACCTTGCAGACCCCTGAAAGGGTCTCGGGGATCCACAAGGTTTCCAAAACACCCTTTGAGAATCACTGTTCTAGATCAGGGGTGGACAATTACTTTTCTTCAAAGCCATAAATAGTACATAGTTTGGATGTTGTGGGCCAGCTGTTCTCCTTGGCAATGATTTAGTTCTGCTGTTGTACCAGGAGAACAACCATAGGCAACACTAAACAAATGGACACTCTGTTCCCATCACTCTTGTTCATGAGAACAGGAAGCGGGTGAGGTTCCGCCTGTGGGCTACAGTTGGACAACCTCAGTTCCAGACAGTGATAAAAGCCAAGGTGTTGACTCTTCCCTGCAAATCCACATGCCGCTCCTTCCCTTCATTCCAGATTCACTCAGTGTCATCTCAAAGAAAGCTTCTCTGATGACCCCATTATCACAGGGCCCAGCCCATCACTCTGAAGCCCCATCTCCCTCCTCATTTCGCTTCACCCCTTTCGCCATCACCTAACCTGTTACTTATTTGCTATGCGCCTCCCCTACCTAGAACATGAGCACTTTAAGGACGCTGTATGCCCAGTGTCCAGAATAGTGCCAGCATACAACAGGCACTCGATCCAAGTTTGCTGAACGAATGAACTTGCTTTTGATTTGCCTGTTTATTTTAGTCTCACATTTCAATTTCTCTTTTGTTTTTTTTTTTAGTTGTGAGGATTCATCCAAGAAATAGAACATTTAAAGAACCATTAGCTTTTTATTTTTTTAGAAAAGCTGGTCAATGACACTATGAGCGTGGAGTCTTCCCCTTGCCGTTAGGAAATTAAAATCTGAGAAGTATAAGTCTAAACAGCATGCAGTGGGAGCCTGAGGTAGGAGTCGGAAAGCCCGTGTCTCCTTCCAGCTCTTCCACCTGCCCGGGGTGGGACCCATCTCCTGATCTTCAGGTTTTTCAACCGAGACCTAGGGAGAGGGTCATGTTTGTTCTGCCTGATTTGGCACATTGCTGAGGGAGGTCCAAGAGGGCGAGGGAACCAGGCTGTCCAAGGGAGAGGCGGTTTCCAGTGTGGCTAGAACAGACTCGCCCACAGCTAGTCACGCACAGCTGAACTGGCACACAAAGTCCTCTCCTAACCCATGCCTGTTGGCACAGGAGGCGTGCTGGGATAGGGAAGGGAGGAAAAGCCTGAGGAACAGGATAGAAAGGATCACCCAAGCACAAGGCTGGGCCCAAGAACACAGCCAAGATGCAAATTCATTGCAGCCAAATTAAACTACAATGAGGTGTCACCTCACGCCTACCAGAATGGCAGTCACAAGAAGCAAGCTTTCATTGCAGCCTCCAGGGGAGTGATCAGGGCAAGAAGGTGGCAGCATTCTGGTTTGGGTCCATCTAAACGAAAATAAGACTCCCAGATGGTCACAAAGGGAGCACAATGCAGGTCCACTCCTCCAGGGCAAGCACAGCCCAGCAGGCTCTTTCTAAGAACAATGCATCTGGACGGCCAACGTTATGTTTCATAATTTGTAACTGACTAATGTGTGTCTCCCCATTGGATTGCAAGCCATGCACACAGAAGGCTCTCAATAGATATTTGTTCAATGACGAACCTTTGATGTGAAACAACAACAAAAAGGGTCAACTGTACGTTATTCTGTAACACTGCAAAATCAGCAAATGCCATGTCCGCTGAGTGATTAGAGGCCATTGATGTAAGTCAAACAACCTCGGCAAATTCCACAGGCAGGACATTTCCTGAGAAGTCTCCAGTGCACAGAGGGAGACAGTCAAGTGTGCAGGTTAGGCACAAGGGTCCTAAAGTCCGAATGTTGAGCTCGTTGTGCAAGAATGTTCACAGCAGCATATGCTTCATAGCCGAAGAGTAAAAACAACCTAATGTGCGTGGACTGATGAACAGATAAACAAACTATAATTTAGCCATGGAATATTACTCAGCCATAAAAAAGAATGAAAGGCTTATACAAGCTACAAAAAGATAGAACACTAAGTGAAAGAAGTCGGTCATAAAGGACCGTATATATCACCTGATTCCATTTGTGTGAAATATCCAGAACAGGCAAATACACAGAGACAGAAAGTAGATTTGAGATTGTCAGGGGGGGTGACTGCTAGTGGGCATGGGATTTCATTTTGGAGTGGGGAAAATGCTCTGGAGTTAGAGAATGGTGATGGCTGCTTGTGTTCATGAACATACTAAAGACCACTGCATTGTATGTTTATAAAGGATGAAAGTTATGATATGACTTATAGCTCAATTTTTTTTTAAAAAAGAATGTCTGCCCCGGCCCACATGGCTCAGTCAGTTGGGCATTATCCTGTGCACTGAAGAGTGGCTGTTTTGATTCCCCAGCAGGGCACATTCCTCAGTTTTGGGCTCAATCCAGAAGGGGGTGTGGTGTGCAGGAGGCAACCAATTGATGTGTGTGTTTTTTAAAGAGCCCGATCCTATCTTCTATATAATAAAGAGGAAATATGCTAATTTGTCCATTACGGTGTTCCAGTCACGACCAGTCTGTGGGCAGGGCCAGAGGCGGGGACTTTCGCCCCCAGCACTAACTTCGCACTGCCTGTGTGCATCCCCATTCAGCACTGGTATGACGCTGCGGGAAAGGAGGGTGGGCCTGGGCTTGAGGGGGCACCTAAGGCCGTGCCCCCCGCCCTGGCTCCTGGCTGGGAGACCTCAGGCCATGCCCCCTACCTGCAGGGCTTGATGGGGGACCTCAGACCACACCCCCAGCCCAGCGGGGCTTGACAGGGGACCTGAGGCTATGCCCCCCACCCGGGGGGCTTGACGGGGGTGGGGCCAGCCGGGTCTAGGTCTCACCCAAGGGGGTGGGGCCAGCCGGGTCTGGGCCTCCTGTGTTTTCAAAGTGTGTGAGGGTGGTGGGCAGGGATTTGACTCTAGGTCCCACGGCACGCTCCAGAATCAGACAGGAGGAAGATTTGATATACATTTTACTAATTTTCTTTCATCTCTGACACTTCTATTATAGAGAAAGGGCAAATAGCAATATTAAAATATTTCTTCTCATTAATTCTCTTTTAATGTGTATGAATTTCATGCATCGGGCCACTAGTGGTTAATGTTAATATTGTGATGGTTGGAAATAATTGTGCTGGAATATGCAAAGGCCAGG